GCCCTTCCGCAACTCCAAGCTGACCTACCTCCTGCAGGACTCGCTTAGCGGTGACAGCAAGACACTCATGATGGTGCAGGTAGGGGCTGGGCATTCGGTGCCTGTTGGCATCTCCACGGCCAGTTGGTGCAGTTTTTGGGATGGGTTTGGTCCCTGTTCACCCTGGTGCTGGGGCAGGCAGGAGGGATGCTGGAGGCTGGGACCAGGGGGCTGGGCTTGCACATGGGGACATCCTCCAGTCTCCAGCCACGGTGCCAGGGTAGCTGTGCCCCCATCTCTGTGCCCCAGATGAGGACAAGGGATAAGGGGATGAACTTGAAGGTCCATGATCCTGCCCTCCTTACTTGCGCATGGATGTTGTCCCTATGGGCACGGTTTCCTTGCATGTTGGCGTCTCCCTGTCCCCTCTCATGCTGGGAGGATTTTTGTGCTCTGGCAGCTGCTCCATCCCTGCCCTGTGACCTGTCCCCCCAGCTGCCTGCGCCCACACCGAGCCCCCTCGGGGGGTGCCCAAGCCCCTGCCACCTGCTGCAGCTTTTCCTGGCTGTCCCTCGTGCTGGGGTGGCTGGTGACAGGGGATCTGGCTGGCTCAGACACTGGCCAGGGCGCAGATGGATGGCGCTATCCTGGGAGCAGCGGATTAATAATAGCATCTCGGTGGCCTGGCACTAGCATGTTTGCTGGGGCAGGGAGCCCTGGGGGCGTGCAGGCAGCTGGCAGGGTGACTTTCTGCTCCTGCCTGACCACAGGTCTCCCCTGCCGAGAAAAACACCAGTGAGACACTGTGCTCCCTGAAGTTTGCTGAGAGGGTTCGCTCCGTGGAGCTGGGTCCTGTCTCCCGCAAGGCTGAGCTGGCCTCCTGGCCCAGCCAGGAGCAGCTGGAGGTAACTGAGGGGCCACCGGTGCCCTTCCTCTTCCCCTTCACCCCAGGGGGACCCCCTGTTTTGCCCCCATGTGTGGTTCCCAGGGCTGTTTGCTGTTGGGTGTCCCCCTGGAGCTGCCTTCATTGGGGAGCATCACCTAGTGGGATGCAGGCTGTCCCCAAGCAGGGCATCCAGCCGATGCTGGCACCTTGGCTCTTCCAAGCCCTGTTTTGCAGCAGCCCAATGGTATCCCCAGAGCACATTTGGACACTGCTACCCAGGCAGGCACAGTCTGCCCATGAGCCCATCTCCATCCCTTCCCTCTGAGAACTGGTGTGGGCTGACCCTGGGGCTGTGCCCCATCTCCCCCCAGGGTGACACGCCGGGGACCGCAGCACCCTCTGGCCGGGGCCATGCATCCCCCAGCCCGGGGCAGCTCTCCAGCCGTGCTGCCTCCATCCGCAGGAAGCTCCAGACCTCAGGTGGGTGGTGGGGCACCGCAGCCCTGCTCCGCACCCCGGGTGCCCAGCCAGGGTCTCTCTGTCAGAGGAAGTGTCTGCTGCCAGCCTCGTCCAAGCCCGAAA